AATAAGGCTTTTTCTTCTATATTGTTTCATTTGAATATTCATTCTCAGATATTTTCTGTCAAATTTGACCCAGAAAAGAAAAGAAGTTTTTGTCATAATAGTTTACATATTGATTAGTGCATTGTAATTTTAATCTTATTTATTTATTTGAACACATGAATATTGGTATAAAAGAGCGCCAATATATATGCGCCACACAAAACAATGAGAATTCGAAGAGAAATAGAGAAAAAAACTAAGGAGCGCAAAAGAAAAAGAGAACAATAACGAAGAGATTGATGTAAGGTAGTGTGGTAGTAACGAGGGAACGGAAAGGTACAATCAGAAGAAATCTTTCATGTAAGGGAGACACAACCACTTTTTATGAAGAAAGTAAAATAAGGTTACAGCAGGATCGCCACTGGCTTCTATTCTGAGCCATATCTGATAACGTCTCTAGCCACTGTGTAGCACCATCCCTCGGACCCCAACCGGGGAGTCCTGAAGGACCGACAGAAGCCAGTCCTTTGCAGCTTTCTTTCATACCACGACACCATGTCATGCACGGACCACCTCTCCGCTTCTTAGAGAAATAAGATGCTCATTGTATAACTAACTTGAAATAATGTTTTCCTTTTCAGGTTTCGAAAAAAATATAGATCTTTTAGTATAACAATGAAATTGTTAATTTAGTTTCAATTCCCTTGGTATTGAGGAACTCTTGAATAGACCAACTTCATTGAATCCACTGGACATCAAAGCACCATATAAAGACATTCCTATAGATATCACTTCAAGATCAACAGTTCGGATTCCGTAACGATTGGTCGTGCACAAATAGCGACACAATGGATCATCGTCGAACAATCAGTTGAGTGAATTATTCACTATACATTATTTTCATTGTCCATGAGAAGACGTTTGACAGTGTAGAAGGGATAAAATAATGGAAACATCTTTAACATTATAGAGTTCCTGAGTAGATTATCAAAATTATCCCGAACTCACACGACGGACCACAGTGCAATGTGGTGCATGAAGGAAAGCTGACAGATGCATTCGAAGTGAAGACGGGAATCAAACAACGCTGTCTACTCTACCCTTCCTCTTTCTCTTGAGGTTGACTGAATTACGAAGATCTCCACATCTAACGGGAAGCATAGAATAAAAGTACACCTCAGAACCAATTAGACGATTTTGACTTAACAGATGGTCAACCTTCCGATCTCAAACACACGAACAAATGCAGATGAAGACAACTAATGTAGCAGCAGCCTCTCTCTGCATCAGTGGTCTCGACATGCTCAAAGGAAAAAGCAAGCTGCTCAAATACAACACGGAGAAAACCAAACAACCACACTTGATGGAGAAACTCTGGAGGATATGCAATCCTTCACGTATCTGTGTAGCACAATCGATAAACAAAGAGGATCCGATGCAAACGTAAAGCTGAAGATTGACAAAGCAAGGACAACATTCTTCAATTCAACAAAATATGGAAATCATAACAACTGTCAACTAATATCAAAATCACAATATTCAATATGAACGTCAAGACAGTTGGTTCTACTGTATGGAGCTGAAACTTGCACAACTACCACAACCATCATCAAGAAGATACAAGTAATTATGAACAATTGTCTATGCAAGATACTCAACATCCATTGACCGGACACCATCAGCAACAGTGTGCTGTGTGAGAGAACAAACCAGTTTCCATGTGATTGGGAAATTAGGAAGAGACGATGGAAATGGATAGGACACACATTACGGAAATCACCAAACTGCATTTCGAGGCAAGCCCTAACTTTGAATGCTGAAGAATAACGGAAGAGAGGAAAACCAAATAACCCAATACGTTGGGAAATGGAAGGAGATATGAAAAGAATGAATGACAAGTGGAAAGAGCTGGAAATGATTTTTCAGGACGTGGTTGGATGGAAAATGTTAGTGAGCGGCCTATGATCCTCCTTGAGTATTAACAGACGTAGGTAAATAATTGTTTACTTGAGTCTCTCCATTGATGATTAGGATTACGTTTGATCAGTCTCTTATTAGCTAAGTAGATAACGCGATGGCGTTTGGAGCAAATGGTACTAGGTTCGAGTCCTAAAGTAATCATTAACTGTGTGATGCAGGTACATCCAGCTGACGAGTCTTAAATAGGACGAAATCCATGTCCTGGATCCCGGTTGCCAGCTACTATCCATCTTTGCTCATTAGTTCAGTGTGTTTAGGTTTTTTTTCTTATAGTCTTTAATGGTCAAACAATAACATCGACTAATCGCCTACATGATGACGACCTATTTTCAATTATTATTATTATTATTATTATTATTATAGAAATAATCATTAATAAAGAATAATGTAATTGTTGTTAACATTCTCATAAAATCAACTTTGAATAGAAATCGGAAGGCCAGAATAATGGTTTTGTTTTTTCAAGGCATATTTTATTAAGCATAATTGTGATAAAGCTAAACATTAATAAATTCCTTTCCAATAAAGAAATTATCAGACAGTGAAAATTACGGATAGATAAAATTTGTATTTACCGACATTTTGGAAAAAATAAATCATCAAAGTCTGGACGAATACAAGGCGATTTGCTTGAATATTCGGGCTACCTGTTCAACAAGTTATCTGTTTCCTTATTTGTTTTAACAGATCATTATGTCAATTAATTACACAACCTATTCAGGTGTATTTGTGAAAAGTTTATGACCATTCTCAGTACAAGTTAAAAAAATGTAAATAGGAGACATTGTGATACCTGGAAATATGGATTGAAAAGAACGAACATTATTCAAATGTCAACTTCTAAAATACTAATATCTAACCGGTGAACACTCAATATTTATCGTCAATATCTATTAAAAAATAAGGAATGAAACTCGCTGAAATACTTTGTGCTGAGAATTCTATATTATACCAAAAACATAATACCGAGTAAAGCTAACAATAATAAAAAATAAATAAAAACTTTGGTGAACTTATACAAAACACATAAAGATAATATTAATTGTGGGGCAGTAAAATTTTTATCATCTTTATTAGATTTTGCTAACTAATAGTGTATTACCATGCGTGTATCACCTAATCGCATACGTTTGTAAAGAAATGACGAACAATCGTTTTTTAAAAATATCGTCAGATGTAACTAAGAAGATCTATGTCTGGTAACGTAGATTTAAAATAGTAAGGGTAAATCATATGTTCGTTCCTGAAATACTTAGTTTGAAATTCAAATTATTTACAGTAAAAGTGAATTATCTCTGGTTATTAGTATGTCTAAATATCTATCATAAATGTGATCAAATCGCGATACAAGAAGCCTAGTTAAATGACAGTAATTTTGTATCACTACATGGCATCAAGATTTATCATCATGATCGTCTAAGCAATAGAAAAATGTGTGATGGTGGTATAGCTACGTTTATAATTATATGCTGGTTTGTTTTAAGTTTTCCAATGATTTTATCAACTACCTACCGTTAAAATGCCCTCCGAAACAATTGACTAAATGTACTTTCACTAATGGTATCAACAATTTGTTCTCTCGGGAGCGTACTTAATTTACACTAAACTTTTTCGCTGATAAATGTACTGAATTTGCTATTACTACTTCCGGTGATTATCATTTGATTTCAATTCATTTAGTCGTAACTTTATTTTTTTTTTAATATTACCAGAGGCAGGTCAATTTCCTTACCCACCCTAATGCTTTTTTATATCTAGTGTTCATTAATGAGGTAGGTATATAAGAGACTTATGAGGATTCGATCATTTCACAATTCATGTTCAGTAGAAGGTGTGTGTCCATCTTGAAAAATGGATAAAGTTTTATCAGAAGAAGGAAGTTGAACAAACTAATCAGAAAAAAAGCATTTAGGATCTAAAGAACACTTTTGAGAGACATACTATGGTTTATTTACTAAATGATCCATTGAAAGACATAATAGTATCACTTGTTGCAGTAATCGGAAATTCAAACACCTGAATTTAGTGTCTGATCGAAAAGTCTTGGTTCGTCAGGTTTTTCAAAACATCCCTAAACACTTTACAGGCCCGAAATGGGCTCGTCATATCAGACACCAAGATGTGTATGACTTAAAGAGGTTGAGGTATCGTTTGTCAATTTTAGGCGTTATTCCCTTTACTTAAGCCTATGTTATTGTTTGTTGAACTTTGTGTCAAACAGGTTCATATGTTACTTTCTCGTAACTTTAGATGGTCTTATCAAAATTATCCTTAACTCCAGAAACTAAAACTAGATTTCCTTGATTTAACGTATACTCTACAGTTTTTTGTTAGTATTTGATTACGAAATGTTTTAGAGTATAACTTAAAAACTGTACATTACATGAGCAAATAAGATTCTAAAAAAGCGCTATGAAACATTATAATTAAACTAATCAATAATAAGGTTTACTAACAGAAGATAAAAAAAGCAATAGAAGTATTCACGCGATATTAGGAAAACGCGCTATAGCTAGATAGGACATACCTTACGGAAATCATCAAATTTGATCAAGAGGCCATCCCTAACTAAGAATCCTGAACGTGACATAAAAAGAAGAAAAACAAATAACACACTGAGCTGGGAGTTGGCGGAAGACATCAGAAGAATGAGTAGCGATTGGAAACTAATGGATGGGAGAGCCCAGAAGAAAGATGTCTGGAGAATCCTGATGGGCGGCCTATGTTCGTCCACGAAGGTTAACAGACATAAGTATGTAAGTAGTTTATATAAAATACCAAATAAATTTGTTTTAATATTCATATTAGTATATAATGTTGAACATTAGTAAGTTCAAGTTTTTCAATGAATGTCATATAGCTGGTTTTCTTTCCTTCCTTCTGCTAATGTGTTAGCTGATGTAATAATACTTATTTAAAATTCATTAATTTCGTTTAATTGACATTAGTTCTTTATAGCCTTTCCGTAAGATCTGTGCCATGTATTTTCCAACAAGGGGAAAATTCAGAACTTCGTTGTATTTCAAGAATTTATTCTTAACATGGAATTAACAATTTTACGCTTATTACGTAACTATTCTGTGAAACGGGTTTCCAAAAAAGCCTTAAGTTTAGAAAATGTGATATGTGAGTATTTATAAGATTTGAGTGACTTAATCAACTGAAGGTTGCTTATAATGGTCAGTATTAAGTGCGCTTCACGTTTAGCAGGCAAAAGAATAACACATCCTTATCAATTTTAGATAAAAACTTGAATCTGGGAGCAATTTATGTTTATTTACATGAAAATTTAAACTTCGACATACCATCAGATAAAAAGAACTTTGATGATTTCAAATTTTCTAATCGAATTTAGCTAAATAATTAATAACAACTATGAAGCACTAGACAACTCTTTTGGTCTCTGCATACAGTTGTTCATCAGTGTGATCTAGCTAATCCTTGACTAAATTAACCTTAAACAATTAACACGTAACTTTAAAATCAAAATTGGCATTCACTTGTTCGTGTTTCGAAACTCACTAAAACTTCTCATTACATGATGAAATCACCGGCCAATATTCCTTGATTTTCGGTTATTCAATGGCTTTAACGCTAATTGTCTTTAAATGGTTATTCACAGCACATCTGTTTTAGTTAAAAGTAAATCTTTATTAATTGAGAAAAGATATAGAATTTCACAACAATCTTTATCATGATATTTACTTGTATAATGTGATCGATCGTTGACGTAACAACACATAACATTATCGAATGTGTCTTTAAAATGCATAATCTTTTATAAGGCTAATTATGCCTTTTGCTTTGATAAACAAAAGAAAACTACAAATTGGATATTAATTATCCACCTACTACTTACAATATTGAATATTTTATTTGAGTAGAATATAATATTTTTTCCATCGACCGAATGTAATTAATTGCTTGTGACAGGGTTTTTATGTATTTGATTTATTTATAACGCCTTTAGAATTGGAGTATGTATTCATCGGTCGCATATATATAATTACAGTTTCAACAGAATAATCAGATTATAAATATGAACGATAATTCATTTTATCATCGGCAACGCTTAAACTTTTTCATCTCATTTTCATCTACAAATTATTTGACTATTCAGTATTATTAAAATATAATGTCTGATGAAACTTGATAAATGTTTCTAACGAAATCTCACTTTCTATACTGTATCTAACTTTATCAAATTTCCTCTCTGTAATATACCATTATTTAAAATTGAAAATGTATCATACCTACTTTAGATTATTAAAAATGCTACGCTTATTTAATATTTATAACCGATTGTATCGGATAGTCAAAGAAACAAGTTGTTAAAAATATACTAATAGTACATACATTTGCAAAACTACAGACTATATATATATAGAGAGAGAGGCAGTATGAAAGTGTTAACGATTGTGTCAAATAGTACATTTCAATGTCAAAACCATTAAAAAAATTAGTATTATGTGTGCTCCTGACGAAAATTAATCATGACTTTGACAAAAACGATAGAACGTAAATAAATACAGTCTCATTTTACTTTTATATATTAAAATAAATCATCTAAAACAAAACTATTTTCAAACTATTATAATTATAACTGTACGAATAAATTATTGTTTAAATGTACTAAATCAAAACATAAATATATTGTGATTAGATGGTGGTTGGAGATAGCCAACAGGAAACCCTAAACCCGGGTTTCGTGCTACTTGGCACTCGTCAGCAAGGTGTACCTGTAATCTTGAGGGAACTTGTGCTCCCTGGTGGATTCGATCCCATGTCACCCAGTTTCACAGTCAAAGACGTTACCAGTGAGCTATCCGGGCCGCGACTGACCTTCTGTAGGACTGAGATATAATCACAACCACCATCTAATCTCAATATATAGTGCATGCAGTGTCGAGTCACCTAGACTGGTGGCCACATTGCAACATGGTCGATAGCATTCGGTCTGCACTAAATAAGAACTTGACACGCATGACATTGATAACCACCCAGTGATCAATCAGTTGTGATAAACATATTGTAATAGTTGAGATTATGAATCAATTGAAGTTAGACCACTATTGAAAACCTGAAAGTAGTGGATGGCCGTTTTTTTTCTACTCTGAGACTCATAATCTCAACTATTAAAATTCCTGATAATATCCACTAAAACCCTTCTGATAATAAACACATTGAAAATGTATTAAATGATCTTTCATATGTATAATAGAATATAACATATACTTAGTCAAATAAAGCTATGTAAACCTTAATGTTCATAATTATTTTGCATAGAAATAATAAACTGGCAATAGAAATTGAATAAACATAAATATAAAGTATAGATATAGAATGATGAAGAAGAAATTGTGAATGACAGGGATAATCTATTATTATTATTATTATTATTATTATTATTATATACTTAGTGAACCAACTAAATAAACTATTCTCTATTAATTTAGAATTTTTCATTTGAAAATTCACCATAATGAGATCCATTTAAATAAATAAACTAAATAAATAAATATGCTCATCAAAATGATTATTATCTATTTTAATTGAATTCAATAATTATTTAAGTAATCATTATTAGGTCAAATAATATTGAATAAAAAAAACATTTTTTTTTAAAAAATTATCAAGGTCAAATACCTTTTTTAAACTAAGGTTACTATCAGGAAATTTCATATTCGGATAAATGAATAAATGGTGTGTAGAATATAAGAAAAAATTTTATTTTTTCTAGTATTATCTTACTGAAACAGAAGTAATTTCTTACTTTTTAATTCTTTTTTTTTCATCCGATAAAGTTATTATTTTGTTTGTATAATGACAAATGAACGAAATCAAAATGAGACTTATGTTTACGTTTAGTTTGTTCTAAATGTTATTTCAAACTATAAGTTATATTAATTTGCTAGTTGAATTCATGAGTCAAGTGAAGTTAGACCATCATGGAGAAACTGGAAGCACTGGACGGTCGTTTCGTCCCAGTATGTGGCTCTTCAGCAGTTGGGTATCGGCTAAGTAGTCTAATGGTTAGGCGAAACTGTTAGGTCCTGGGTTCGAAGCTCGCAAAGCAGACTCGTGGATGTGCACTGTTAAGGAGTCCAACACTAGGACGAAATGGCCGTTCAGTGCTTCCAGGTTCTCCATAGTGGTCTAGCTTCAATTGACTCATGAATTCAACCATTAAGATTACTATGTTATCCACAAAAACACTTCATTGATTATTATCATCATATGTTCACTAGTGATGTTCTCCAAGAGGTCATTCCTGGAGTTCTAGTGAGAAGTCGTGACGAGTGGAGTTCAACCGCGTCAGTTGTGAGTTAGTAGCTCACTGATGACAATGGTAGACAGTGGCGCAATTTCGTGAATTGGTTTAAGTTGGACATAAACACCATTGGATGCCAGCTCAGTGGTCTAAAGTTTAAGCGTTTGTGCATGAAACCGATAGGTCCTGGTTTCGAACCTCACTAGGCGAGATTGTGCTCGCACACTGCTAAGGAGTCCCACGCTAAGACGAAACGGCCGTCCAGTGCTTCCAGGTTTTCTATGGTAAGCTAGTTTCAATTGACTCGTGAATTCAACTATTAAAACTACTATAATATCACAAAAACCCCTCTCTGATTATAAGTAATATGTTAGTGGGGTATTAAGAAATTCGTATTACCGCTGGTTGTTTTCGGTACAAAACGAATATGGTTAACTAACCAATATGGTGAGTACACATTGATTTAAATCTAATGATTTCAGAATTCACTATGATATTCATTAATAGATGCTAATTGACTTTGAGATTGTGATACGTAACAGAAATCTTTGATCTGGTGAAAATAATGTTTTCATATAATGTATGATATAGTTTTGTACTAGACTACTAATTAATATCAGTAAGCAAGAAAATTTGTATCATTTTCTTCCATGTTCCTGAAGTTCATATTATTATGATATTCAAATAAGATCAGAAATATATATTTCATATTCATTTATAACTTATCATTATTTGAATAAACATTAAAGTGATTTACTATCATTATGAGTTTAACCAATGTATATGTTAAAATTCAAGAAATTCCCAAAAACTGTTACGAATACCTATAAGGTTGAATAGTTTGCTGTTAATGATATTAAACATTGGATTTGATCAATCTCTGCTGTCCACCTAAACACAGTATCACAATGGATATCATGTCATTATTTAAAATGAAAACTAATGGATTGAAACAATTAGAGTAAAATTTACTAAAGCCGAAATATAGATATAAGTTGGCACGTTCAATATAGGACACACGGATTTCAATCCTATCCCAATATACCATTAAATATTATCTCCTAAATATGTATTAACGACACTCAAAATGAATGTTAACTATTTATGTCAAATATTTACAGATATCAAGATATAAATGAAGTTGATATAAAAGTGAAATAGAGCAATGATGTTATAATTCCCAAAACACGGTGAATAAATTTCACAGTTCACTGATTTATAGCGTAAAAATAAACTGCAATCGATCTAAAGGAAAGTCAAAGGAAGAGAAAAATAAGTTAGCAATCTATCTTTCTTGTTAGTTATCAAAAACGTTAACAGACTTATGTTTATGACATTGATTCAACGTGAATATTTATTATTATTGTAGAGTGATAGTTAGAATAGAATTGTTATAATTTAAATGTTGACGAAATTAAACAGAATGCGGAGGAGATTTCAGAACATAAATCATGGTAACTAATGACCGTAGAGCTAAAACAAAAGTAAGTTATAGTGAAAATTCCCATTTTGCCGTTTGGTAAATAAAGAAGAAGAGAATTGAGCGAAGAAATTTCTTTTCAATTAATTTTTCATCATGGCTCTACACTAATATATATACGTTTTACAATAATAATATAATACTCATCGAGTAGATACGTTACGTAATAATTACATAATGACATTTAAGTTAACTTTGAGTAATTGGAAGAAAGAGGATTATTAATAATCAAAGTAATTATTCAAAATCAAGACGTTGCTACGTTGCGTAATATATGAAAAAGAGAGAAAGAACAGAATTTTTTAATGGATGGACATTATCTTTTGATGAAGTTACTAGTTCTGCCGTTTGAGCATAAAGATTCTCGAATTGAAT